TGCTGGCCACACTATTCCTGATACATGCCAGGAGGTCATGTCCAGCTTTTCGTCCACCAGTACCCCCAAGTCCTTCTCAGCGGGGGTGCTCTCAAGCCCGTTATCTCCCAGCCTGTACTGATAGCAGGGGTTACCCTACCCCAGATGCAGGACCTTGCACTTGGCCTTGTTGAACCTCTTGAGGTTCGCACAGGCCCACTCCTCCAGCTTCTCCAGGTCCCTCTGAATGACATCCCATCCTTCTGGTTTGTCAGCTGCACCACTTAGCTCAGTGTCATCTGCAAACTTGCTGACGGTCCTGTCCTTTGTTGCACAACTTACTCTGATATTTCCTGTCATTTGCTTCCTTTCAAAAACTTAAAGCAGAAAATACTCCACAATACGTAAGATTACCAACTATAATTCTCATGCATTTCCAACTAACTTTTGGTTAAATATTTCCATGTGACCATCTGTTTTCATCATTTTCTGTTTCAAAGTTTGTGAAAGTCTTTGTATTACATAGAAAATCTTGATGTAGCTGTTGTTATTTACAGATATAATGGCACAAAATCACCTAATGATACAAAGATTTTATGTTATGTTTTCTAAAACAAGCATTTTGATGTCAACTTTAGGCTTTATTTCTTCTTCTGGCTTCTTTGGAAAACCAGAGTATATAGATCTAAGAAGTAAAGAAAGAGTGTTTCAGCCGGACAAAATCACAGTCCTAGTATGTTAGTAACTAACTGATGAGTGACTATGAGAGGTACTAGGTATACGAAATGACATTTAAGTAGAGTGCCTCTGCTAATGTCATCCTTAGGACACTGTATGCTTCATTTCTCTCTAAATCCTTTCACTGGCTTGGGCAGACAAGCCTGAGTCTGTACGAGTGGACTGTCAGTGGAAGGAGTCAAACAGTAAGGTTCATTACTCCTGGCACTGAATAAAACTATATTTAATTGAACAGATAAAAATATCTTATAAATAGTTGGGAGTTATAAAAAGCTGCATTATTGAAACAATTGTTTTAACTCAAACACAAAATCAACTAGACACCATACTGATGCACATGACAGTAATGCAGAAACAGATTACCCAAAAAAACTTGGTGCAGTCATAGCAAACCCTCATAAATTATATTCAGGAAATGCATGATACAAATGATTCAAATGAATCACTATCATTTGTTATGTCACACTTCAAAAACACTGTTTTGCCTGAACAAAATCAAATAAATGCTATTTTTATCACTTCTGCTCCAAATTATTTCAAAATAATTGTACAAACTCATAAGGGATTTCAGGGTACACATTACTATAGTGAACGTTGTTTTGTTTTACTCCCAGGATCTTGAAGAATTTTCAGAGATTAAAAAAACCCACCACAGCAGAAGAAAAACAACAGAATCACTCTTCTAATACAATTATTTGCCCGAATATTTTCTGAGGAAAACAAGCTAGACAGCTTGCTTGTAGATAAGTCAAAACAGTTTTTAAACTGTCAGCTCCGTACAGGAGATGGATGTATATAAATTTACTAGAATTTGTCAACTTATTTGACAAAATCCCCACTCTATTCAATGACCAATTACTGCATAAAAATTGCCAGAAAGTGCAACTGTCAATACAGGTTAGTACAGTATTTGGTTGTTTGGGAGAAGGGTTAGAAGAACTAGAGATGTATTAATTGCCAGAATCATTAGAAAACTGTTTGGACTTGATATTACCTTAAATGTCTATAGGATTCTACTGTTTCTTAGTCTTGCTTCACAGATCAGACCTGGCAAATTCAACCTGATCTAATTTCAATGGTTCATATAATAGCATTTATATGGTAAGTCAAGTCAGAGGACAGCAATATAATTTATTGTGGTATAATAAACAGAAATCTCCCAGTCCTTCCATTAATAGTTCTAGTCAGTTGCTAGGAATAGAAACTAATTTTAAGACTTCTCCTAACTCCACTATAGCTAATGTCTTGGATATATCTATTGCTATACAATTCTCTTCCATGCTTTTAATCAAAATATAAAATTCTGCAATGTTTGGTCTCATCTCCATCTTCTACGCTTGATGCATTCTGAGGCACAGGCCAGAATTCCAATCCATACCAGCACGCAAGAGTTCCCTCTCCATTAAATTGTTTCTTAAGGATTCACAGTTTCTGTAGCTACAATTTCAGAACACTGTTCCCCTTAATCAGAACACTATTACCCTTAATTGCGCTCCACCTCAACACACAGCAAATAAAATATATTCATTTCACATGATGTGTCTCACAGCAGATCTTGCTAAAGATCTTTTAAAAAGTAGCGGACACTTTACATGCTTTTATACTGTATACCATATATACATACACCAGAAACTTAGAAATTCATAATATGGCAATATTACAATAAGAATGTTACCATGTACACAAGACGTAGCTCTGCATAGCTCTATGTAATAGTTAAACAAACATTAATTATTTTTGCGCTATTCCATTTTTGCTTTTCCAGTGTTTTATCTAAACACATTAGTGTCATATTTGCTAAAGTACAGAGGCAGAAATATTCAGGTAAACTTCTTCCTTTGAAGCGTTCACGGTTTAGACAGAACCAACCATAGATCTGGATCTTTCCTGGTTGTGTGAAATTAACGAATAGTCCATTTCTCTTGTTTCCAATACTAAGTAAACACAGCCTGATTATTTCACTACATGAGATAGCAAGAGGCAGAGGAGTAGATCACAGATTCATCAAATCACAGAACAGTTTGAGTTGGAACGGCTCTTTAAAGATCATCTAGTCCAATCCCTCTGCCATGGGCAGGGACATCCTTCATTAGATCAGGCTGCTCAAAGTTCTGTCCAACCTGACTTTGAATACTCCAGTGATGGGGCATTCACATCTTTTCTGGGCAACCTGAGGGGTTGTGGATGAAGAGAGAAAAAAAAATTCCTTGAATTACATAAGTTACACATCTTCCTTCAGCAGAGATGACATCCTCTCAGAAAAATGGTGCAAATGGAGATCCTTTAGCAGTTCTTTAAACAAACTTCAGAAGAAGAAAACTGGTTGAAATCCTGTCCAGCAGTGTCTTGAGTTTAGCTGGGATAGGGTTAATTTTCACAGGAAGCTGGCTGGGCTGACCCAAACTAGCCAAACAAATGGGATATTTTATACCATATGACATCATGCTCAGTATTTAAGTGGGGGAGCTACCTAGAGCAGGGGGATGTGCTACTCAGGAGCAAACAGAGCATCGAGCAGTGAGAAAATTGCACACTGTATACTCTTTTCATCTGCATTGCTATTTTTATTTTCTTAGAATCATAGAACCATTAAGTTTGGAAAAGACCTCTAAGATTATCAAGTCCAACCATCAACCCAACACCACTGTGCCTGCTAACCCATGTCCTGAAGTGGCATATCTACAAGTTTTTTAAACACCTCCAGGGATGGTGACTCCGCTACTTCCCTGAGCAGCCTATTCCAATGCCTTACCACTGTTTCAGTAAAAATATTTTTCCTAATCTAATCTAAATCTCCCCTGATGCAACGTGAGGCCATTTCTTTTCGTCCTATCACTAGTTACTTGGGAGAAGAGATCAAACCCTGCCTTGTAGAGAGCGGTAAGGTCCCCCCTCAGACTCCGGTTCTCCAGATTAAACAACCCCAGCTTCCTCAGCCATTCCTCATAAGACTTGTTCTCTAGACCCTTCACCAGCCTCATTGCTCTTCTCTGGACACGCTCCAGCACCTCAAAGTCTTTCTTGTCATGGGGGGCCCAAGAGTGAACACAGTTCTTCTCCCTTTGCTATTCTGTTAAACTGTTTTCATCCCAACACACAAGTTTTGCCTTTTCCTTTTGATTCTCCTCCCCATCCCACTGGGGGCCGGGAAGGGGAAGAGAAAGAGCGGCTGCATGGTTCTTTATTGGCAGCTGGGGCTAAACCATGACAAGTAGTAACCATAGGCTAATGCACTGACTTTGTAATCTCAAAGTCAAGCTACATCTCTGGATTTTTCACAAAGACTCTCGTCTCATCATACAAACAGTTTTTGAAGGAGCCAGTTGCCATCTATTTTTCTTCGTTTTTTTTGTCCCCTTTCCCTATTTTCATGATGGTAACTAGGAAAGATTCTGTTAAATGGGTTCGGAAAGATTCCGTTAAATGAGTGCCTACCTACAAAAAGCTGGCTGTTGAGCTGCAAGTGAATATGCCCATCGGGTGGAGCACCGTGAGACTTTTGAGGAAGCTGGTCTACTTGTAAGGATGCTTCTTTGATGTTGCGTTCAGCCTTCACATAATGCCACTGGTTGTCATTTAAGGAAGTGAGTGATTGCACTGTAACTTCGCTAGGTCCATTTCCAACATCAAATGAAAAAACCACTTCAGATGGAGCTAGAAAGAGGACAGTAATAAAGCACATTTAAATTATTTCATAGTTAATTGAGTCACAAAATCATTAACTGGGAGAACAAGTTATTTTAAGGTCTAGTCTATTATTTCATGGGATAAGACTGGTTGTTTTAGGGAAAAAGTTTACTTCAGAAAGCCTATCCCCAAGGCTCATTCTTCACACTCTCTGACAATGAGAACAACGATTTGTCAACAACATGGAAATAAAAATGTTTTTGGCCCCCTGGAGAGCATAGTAGTCAAGAAACAGTGAAATGTGCTAGCTTCATTATTTTTCACTTCAGATAAAGAGCATCTCTTGCTTACATGCTAATTGGTTACCATTGTTAACTATATTTAAATTATCACCACTACAATCCAATCAACATCTTCTACTGTCTACTTGCTTTTGTTATTTATTCACTTAATCTCTACAAGTATCAGAGGGCAAATTTTGATGCAGTTTATAAGATTGTGCATACAGTGAATGAAATTGAGCCATTCCCTAAGCAACTTTCATGTTACATGGTTTTATAGTTTCCTTAGAAAATCATAACTGAATCTTTGCAGGTCAAAATAATAAGATGAGGAACCTGTCAGAAATTGCAGATCTGAAAATTACAAATATTCTCTCTGAAACTGTTTCTTTAACATATTCAAGGACAATTGTGTATGAAAATAAGTAATCCCTAAAAAAGGGGTTACCAGCATTTCGAATTAGTAGGGATTTGATTAAAGGACTTGAGGTCTGAGAAGACTCCATGAATCCAAGAGAAAGGTTCTCATCTATGTCATTGGATTCTGAGAGAAAAGCAAAACAATTAGAAGTAGTCAAAGGAAACAAATCAGCTTTAAACAACATAGTCAAAGATGAATTTACTGAATTTCAAAAAACTGTTTTTATGAAATATTTTTATTTTCTTTTCACTTTTAAAAGATTCATTAAACTTTTTAAAATATTGAGATCCACTTTGGCCAACCTTTAGACTGAATAAAGCCACATGCTTGCAATCCCTTAAGCCCTGAATCTGGTTTTTATAAAGTATTTATCTATAAGAACTGAATCTGAGAGAGAAAAGTAACATGATAAATAAACAAAGCATTTGACTTTCCGAATCAAATAAGGCATAATGTGCAGTTAATTTTTAAACAGAATGAGTTTTTAATGGATTATCTCTTCTGCTTAAAAATCAGCAAGTTTTTATACTATAATTAGAAATAACTGACTTCTAAAAACAGTTCCTCAGTAAAATTAATTTTAGGATAAATTTGTTTCATTTGGAAAAAATTGAGAGCTCAGTCTCTCCTCTCTGAGAGGTAAAAAAAACCCCAAAGAACCACAAAGTCAGAGAACAAAAGCAGCAGAAACTGTGTGATCAGGTTTAGATAATTCCTGCTTTTTACTGTTGGAGTGAAGCCTGAAAACACAAATTCTGCTTTGAACTCCCTGAATGTGCCTATTAAATAGCATATCAGAAAAATAGATCTGATAAATAATGTTGCTGTTTAGATTTTAAAGGCAAGACAACATGTAATAAAGATTTATAAATAACCATTGAAATAATGAACTATATTAGTACCACTAAAAAAGTAATATAATCTTAAAAAAAGAGAACCAGTCCCAGAAGTTCCAGAGATGAAGGCCCATACAGCAAGGATGACTGCATGGTCATCCGTTGTAGTGTCTGAATACAGACCATTATGTCAGAAAAGGTAAAAACCAGAATCAGTTAACAATTTATAGTATTTTAAATAATTCTGCTAAAATCGTCTACACTGCAAATTTGGAAGAAAATTTATATTTATTAACACAGTGGTCAAACCACCTGTGGAAGGTATGCCACAGAATGTGGAGAGATGTGGACTGAGTTCTAAAATTTGTCCTCTTGTGACAAAGGACCAGGGCAAAGAGCACTTTGGTCATTTCCTGGACATCAGGGGAGGGTACGTCCAGGAGTTCTCTTCTGGTGCAAAAATACTTTCTAGGCCTTACCTAGGTTGGCATTACCCAAAAATTTTCCAAACATTGCAGGGACTCTTGTGGCCCTAATACATTTAAACATAGGCAGAGCAGAGCTATAGATTGGCAAAGTGGAGCAAATTTGCAGTTGATGGCCATCATGGAGAGTGGTCAGTGGCTAGCTGTGGCTAAAATGACTAATAGGAAGCACAGTCATCGAGAACTTTTCAGAGCATCAAGGTTGAGCTTCACATGCAGAAGCAGAAAGTGATTATCAAGCAATATGCTACAGAATACAAAACCCATGCACTTTCCATAAAGGAAACAATTGTATTCCACTCATCCTGGACAGTGAGTACCTAAATTAGGGCAAACGAAGGCCAACAGCAGCTACCCATTGGGCTCTTCCG